CTTCAGCTGTCAAAGTAAACAAGTTTCAAGATGCTGCATAAATTTTCCGCATGAACTCACCTGTCAAATTTTGACCAATCAGAGCATAAAAATTGGACGTGGAGCGTGACCAACTCGTGACCTTGTTGAGAAAAGTCAAAAGCAACTGGTATGTCTTCCCTGCCTGTAAAAACTGGCTGAATTTTAGCTTCTGAGGTCAGTTTGAAATCAAAATTTTAATTGTGCGACACATATAAAACACAACATATTTCATATGAATTTAAAAAAATTAAACTTGAGCCTGCGATCATTTGAAAACTAGTAACTTGTAACGGATAACTTCAAAAAGATACTCGACCTCGATGGGTCGACACCTGAGTCCGCGATACGGTCAGGTGATACTGGCCAGCGGATACCCTGTTTTGACAGCTGTCAATTGATCAAAACATCAATATCAGTCTTCCTGTGCTACCAAACTAGCTAGAAAGTGTGAGATTGAACATTGGTTTTCCTGTGGTGCGGACGGACGGGCGGGCCGCGGGCGGTGTACGGTCACGTGATTACCAAATTTTCTCGGATGGGTAGATTTACTTACCCATGGTGCTCCGCAGGCGCGCTTCACGCGCCAGAGCTCCGCTATTAACTTCATGAACGATTCCATAAACAGCTGCACAATATACTAATTAACAACAGTAGTGAGCTGAGGTAAGAAAATAAGGACGTGATTAGACTTTGCTGGGGAAATACAACCAACAGGTCCGCAAATAACGAGGTGGTCTCATGGCAGGGGTCCTCTGTACAGCAAAAAAGTAGGAAAAAACGAAAAACTTAATACCTAAATGAAGCTAGTTTATATAACAGATTAAATTGAAGTTAATGTTATAACTAATGATCTGCTTTTACGAGAAATCAGGGACGAACCAAACCGCAGGAGTAGGGGCGGGGGGTACCTCCTTATAAGAGGCTAATGGGAATGTGCCGCTGGATGGGGTCGCTGTTATACGACCGTATTGACTATAACGGGGTAGCATTTTCAAGAGAGTTCCTAGAATGGGCTCACACATTTTCGGATTTTTGGGGTAAGAAAGTTTTTCATATTTACGGTTAGCAAACGTTCCAGAAAGTTTGTACTGTAGGTGAAAAGTAAAGTGTTCTTCATTCAATCCATTCATTAAAGGACTGATAAGCTAAATACATGAATAGAGAGTGACTAAGTTGGATTCGCAAAAATTACATTTGCCCAAAAGTGACTAAGATGGAGTCTATAACTGGCCACTGAATAGACTATAATGGGGTAGGGGCTTTGAGAGGCCAGCGGCACATACCCAGCAAAAATTATCCCAAGTACCCCGGCCCCTCGAAACCAAACAGAGTTCTTATATTAGGCCAAGGCCAAACGTCGAACTTCGTTTGTTTCGTTATTTCTCGCTAACGTCAAGTTCCTTAACGAAATAATTAACAATTATTCCACGAGTGAGCGTTTGATATGAGAACGGAGATGGCCAACGAGGCGTGTAGCGCCGAGTTAGCTCTTATAATAATCATCCCATATCCAACGAGCGCGAGTGGAATAATTCTTTTATTAAAAACGCCCACAAAGTATCAAGAAAAAAAAAAGAAAAAAAAAACAACCATTTTTTTTAGCTTGTTTTTAATTTTGAGAAGACGCGCAGACGCGTACAATTACCATATTTGGAGAGCATCCGGGGGTACTCCTTATAATGGCCTATACGGTGAGGACATATTAAATTCTGCAAGCAGAATACTGCAATGCTGATCGTACTATGTGAAAATTAACTCTGCAAGACATCAACACGACACCGAAAGAATTCAAAACAGAGCGGGATTGTAGCCATAGACAGCTGTTTCGCCCTCTTTGGGGCTCGTCAGTATGGCGTAACAACCAGAGAAAACTCTGGTGAAAAATATCTGCGCACTCTGATTAAAGCCCTGACCTAGAATCCTCAACACCCACAGAATCACGCCATACCACGAGTCGTCTGGGGGGCAAGAGTCCAAGTGTCAAGTTGATGTCTCGCAGAGAAAATAAAAAATTGGCCAAAACCAACCTATAGAACATGGACAAAACCATGCAAAAATTACGGCAAATCGGATCTATAAAAGATCTACGGCCCCAGAATACATAAAGTACAAACATTAACCACAAAGGACTGAGTTCTTTCCGTGTCGTGTTGATGTCTTGCAGAGTTAATTTCACGTAAGACGATCAGCATTGCAGCGGAGTTCTGCTTGCAGAATTTAATATGTCTTCTTTTCATTTTTGCTGATCAGGTCTTTATATATCCTACGTTCTTCGGCATATTCGTTTGCGGTCCTTTGCAGTCCTTTGTGGTTAATGTCTGTACTATACGGTGAGGCTCCGCCCAAAAGGGGTACTATTTTCAAGTTTTAGGTATACGAAAGGGTAGGGATTTTACTCGTTGAAGTATGTGAAAGCGAAAGAGAGAAAAATCTGTTATTTGGGTCTGTGAAAGGGCCTTAAAAAACCAACATACGAATTTTATGCCTGTATAAAGTCGAGAAAACGTTCTATTTTTGCGATTGATTCCTATTTAAAATAGAAAAATTTGTTGAGTACCCACCGGGAGAGAGCATGGTATAATGGGTCATATACGATGATGGCTAAGTAAATCAGAGCTCTAGAATTGCATTATCCAATGATTCATTTTCTAATAATACGTGTTATTGGCAATATTAACCCAATTAACTAGACAGCCGTGACTTTAGAGCCCCTTTAACGGAAACACCTGTGTGTTCATTTAGACCTTGCGGGTTTCAATTTCATTTCACTAGCCAGGAGTGAGTCCCATTGCCAGTGATAGTCATTGTCACCATAATTGGAATTCAGGTTTGAGTAATAACAGCTATCATACCACCATGCTCCCTTGTAACTTACAACACAGTTATCACCATATTCGTCATTATCTCGATCTTTAGTACTGAAAGCCATGCCTTTATGATAAGTCAGTCGATCCGTAGCTGTACCAGAGTAAAACCCAACAAACAGCGAGTAGTTAGATGCCTCGTTAGTGACTGTAAAAGTGCTGTATTTCGCGTACTTGTCACCATCGTTTTTTGTCTTAATTTCCACCCGCAGCTGACTCGGAATCTCCCTCAGTTGATGAATCTTCTCGTTCCCAAGCCAAAACTCCCCTCTGATGTCACCAAAGCCGTTTTTGTACTCTTCCCACCCCCTGTAAAAGTCCAAAGCCCCATTAAAGCGCTTGTGAAAGACTTTCCATCCTCCGCCATCCGTCTTCATGTCACAGAACACTTCGAAACTGGCTTTGTTCGTTGGGTTGACGGTATACACACCACTTTCTTTAAATCCAGCAGAAAACAGTTCTTGACAATCTCGGGCTACAGACATGATCAATAAAATATATCCATTAATCAATCTGTCAACATAATAACGAATGATATGAAACTAGAAAGAATATAGCGTGCGCTAACGGACCCCTCCCGTAAGCAGAGTGCTAGTCATGGCACAGCGTCAGGCAAACACTGCATTTTGCACTCCCTTAAACGAACACCTCTCCAAAGCCGATGATTTTATAGTCGCCGGTATCTGCTTACGGAAGGTTCGATTGCTTTATGGCAGTCCAGAAGATTCACCGGGTAACAGATGAGTTAGGGGTATCTAAAATTGTGTACTGTCATGCCTATAATCGAAGTTGAGTTGATCTTTGCCGGCAGGAGGACGGCCTGGCCTATTCAACTGGTACGACATGCAAGTAGTGCAACTGACAGTAAATTTGTGTTTAGTCAAGGACACTTAAAATTGATTAGATTTGTAGTACAGTCAAACTCCTTTCATGCGGACATTGACGGGCCATGGAAAGTGTCCGTATTAAGCGGGTTGAATTTAGAGAAAATGTAAGGGTTTTCTTTTCCCAAGGACAAAGCAAACTGTCCATAATAATGAGGTGTCCATATTAAGCGGGTGTCCGTTAAGAGGAATTTGACTGTAAATGTAACCCGAGTCAGTTAGACAGTTACTTAGCTTTCACTGAGTTCAATCGAAAACCCCAAAACTAGCAGGCAATGTAAAACACTTCTTACCAGTTTTAACAATCAGTTGTACTTCGGTATCCACCTGAAGCAGCCCACTCCGTGCAGAACAGATGTAAATGCCACTGTCTTCAACCTTCAAGCTGCGTATCTTTAGCTGTCCGTCTTTCACCTGTGTGCGTCCCCTTGGCAACTCTCCATTGCATCGTGACCACGTTATGTTAGGTACTGACTGTCCATCTGCAGAACAGTTCTGTGTAACTGACTGTCCTGATAACGTTCTATCTTCTTTGGTGGCTTGACGGTGAACTGCGGCATCACGTTAACGATCAAAGTTGTCATGGCGTGCGAAGTGCCCATGGCATTTCTAGCGGTGCAGATGTATGTTCCTCCGTCCTTCTTCTCTGCTTTCTTGATTATTAAGGTTTGACCATCTACAGCGATTCTTCCAGTTGGATGTTGATCAAAAAGCTTTGTCCAGGATATAACCGCAGGAGGATATCCGATAACTTGGCATTTAGGGAGACTGATATCTTTTCCGCTTTCAGCGTAGATTGGCCCTGGAGCGAGTGAAATGTCTGGTAGAGCTGCAAATGATCAGTTTCATTCAAGACTATTCAATGACATTACGTTTGTGTTTTTTCTTGTTGTGATTTTATTTCTGTTCTCCTCACTTCTGCTTTCCTAACTTAGAAGGAAGCGCCGGTATACTAAGCGGTTTGCTAGATCAAAAATGGTCCTGTGTTTTTTTTTTCACCTGAGTTAACCCATTCGCTCCTGGAGATTTTGCCGAAAAACGCGTTTTGAAGCTAGTCGAGTGGTTTACTGGTCATTGTCCTGCTATAAAGAGCTAAAACTTACCACAAACCGGTTTACAGGTCGTACACTTCACGGCCTTATGATCCAGATGCAAAATATCAGCTTGCGAAGTTCGGGCATGCGCAGAAAGCAAAATTTTTGGGTTTAAAAGTGACACAGCAGTCTTGACTTTTACTTTTAGCTTTCTCTCCTCCCCTCTTTTTTCGCTTTTCTTACCTCATTTTTTTTCTCTTGCTGGGCATCTAGTAGGCTTCATTTTGGTGGGAATAGTTTTTAGGAAAGCTTTTAGGATCTTAGGATTAGGTGAAAGGATAGGTAGGTGAGCAATGGAACAAGATTTTCATGGAGATTTTCAGGTCAATGTTTCATTGTTTTTTGCCTCTTTCTCCGGTGTCCCTGACTGAATTGTGCTCATTCTGGTATGGTTTGAAAGATCTCTTAACCCTGCACAAGTTAGGGGACAAAGTTGTCCTTGACCGTTAAAACTGATGACGTCACAAAGGGTAGAAAGGACGTGGATCCGCACAGGCGGTTACGGGCGGTTAGTGGCGAATGGGTTAATAAGGTAATGGGCAAAAATGAAAGTCATACATTAAAAAACAATACGCTTCGAGTGCAAGCCCTTCGTTGGAGTGTATCAAAGGACTCTGAGTGCAAAGTTATAAGCATTGTTAACCACGTCCGTAAGATAATAACTTGGTCCTGACTTTTGATAATAACTCGCCGCAGAAAGGATGCAGCTTGTATCGCGATCTGGTGGTTTTAGAAAGGTTAGTATTTATATATCCCGAGCCATGACTGTAATTTTGACTAAAACATAGATATTCTCCGAATTTCTTTTCAGGGGATCTTTCCGCTGACATCAAGAAAAGAGTATGAAACCAAAAGCAGAACTTTAGCACTACGTAAGTACTTACTATCACCCACTAACTTCCTATTAAAAATTGCTGTGTTGTCGCAGGTGGCAATCTGTTTAGTTATTGTCATTAAAAAGCGGAATCTTTAAATGTTTCTAAATCAATCTGACTGGATTGCCCATGCAGTTGAACTGGTGCACAGCAGGACTTTAAAACATATTTTCATTGTTTATTTTTTTTACCTTTCACATTAAGTGTGACAGCAGCTTGTGCGGTCCCCTTGTAAGCGCGAATCGTGCAGATGTACACGCCATTGTCACTGATGACCACATTCTTGATAAACAGTGTTCCTTTGATGATGGAATGTCTTTCGACGGGGAGAGATCCATCCTTTTTAGACCATGAGATGGTCGCGTCAACGTTTTTGTCTGCTGCGCACCGAAATGTAGCTGACTCGTTTAAAAAGGCAGTCCTGAAGGTTGGCTGAACTAATATCCCAGGGGCTTTAATGACATCATCTGATTGGTTCTTAACTGGCTGTAAGTAAGTTGGAGTCAACGAACTTGTTACTCCGGGATCCCCCTTATCTCCCTTCATTCCAGCGGGCCCTTGAGGCCCGGGAGGACCTGGAGGACCCGGAGGTCCTTGAGGTCCCGAATTTCCCGGAGTTCCTTGAGTTCCTGATTTTCCCTGAGGGCCTCTAGGTCCCACAGGTCCTTGGGACCCCGGTGGTCCTTGGGATCCTTGAGGTCCCCAAGATCCCTTCACAGTTGTCTGGCGTCCTTTCTCGGTGCAGTCTTTACGTGTTGCAGAGTTGACAGCTTTAGTGATTTGTTTTCGTATCACTGGAGTTAGAGAACTGTTACTTTTGTTGGTGGCCTTGATGCCTCGAGCGCTTCGACTTAGCTTTACAGCTGATGGCAGGTTGGAGTCGATATTCACAGAGTGGATATCTGTAAGAAAACAGTCATACAGACTCAATAGTAATAAATGCATGGCTTCCATGTAATATTGTTAAAAATTTTTACGCATTTTTAGCTTTATTCAGTGTTTGTTTGGTTGGTTTGCTTGTGTATTATTGGATTGTTACACTTTGCCTTGCGTAAATAGTGACTTAAGAACTTCCGTTATTTGCCCTCCCTCCAGAATTCATTTTGCAGGTTCATGGTATACCTACCATGCAGAAGACAATACACCTTACCTTCCCTTCTATTGCCCTAAGCTGTAATCTCCTAATAGGGTTAAAAATCACCTACTTCTCGCAGAATAATAATTAAGATAATAAAAAAAAACAAACGCTTATTGCATGGTTAGACTGTTGTATGTTGGGCTATAGTACAAAAAAGGTGTTGCATTCTGAAGGATATAGTAAGCAAAATGTTTTTTTTTTAAAACAAAAGGTAGAAAAATAAAAAGAAAGAAAAGCGAGCGTGACCGACAGCTCTGACAATGAACATGTTTTTGTTTCCAATATTTCGTTAGCCATGGGCTGGCTTGTTCAGGGAATCCACGAGAACATTCGTTGCAGTCTATCTAAATACCCTTGTGCCACAATCGAAACAAAAAAATGTGAAAATATAGTGAAAATATGTGTATGTCTGATTTCATTAAAACCTTGCCACTAGGTTTCGCCTGGCTTCAGGCCAGTCCGGCGTCCAAAAAGGTAGGGGGCTTGCCGTCTTGGTCGATACAGTTGGATAACCCAGGGACCGCCCTAACAAAAAACAATTGGCATAACCATTGTTTTTAGTTTCCCTTGGGACTTAGAATCATCCCAAGAGAAACTGAAAACAATAATTATGCAAAATTTTTGGGGGGGTACAAAAAGCTAATTATGGTATTTTCTAAAGTGGGGAATGGTAATCTATATACAAGTGTACTATCACCCATGCATACTATATTAGCACAGGAGAAACAATTGTGGGCACTGACAGTATCCCATGATAGGAGTAATTTTGTTGACATCAGTGTCAGAGGACATGAGGTTCCTGCTAAGTTTCAAAACCATTCTGGTTGCTCTATTGTTTGCACATGTAAACCTAACAAATGTAAAACTTCTTTTCTCATTTACTTTGATCTTCACCCAAAAAAAGCATTGAAACCTCACTTGGGATTTTAATTTGCACATCTTCCATTCAACTTTTGTGACTCCTTCTGGCTTGCAGAAGTGATCAAACATAGGGAAAATGACCATCAATAGAACTATATCAATCAGTTCCCCTATGTAAAATCAACAGTGTCCCAACCAGTCAAAAAGAAACTAGGTAATAAATAACAAGTAGGGACAAAAAGATCCATGGTAAATAACTTTTTTTAACTAGTTTCTCTAGGTTTGTAGCTTCTCTGGAGACACCAATTGGTTCAGTGTTAAAGAAAGCTACCTGATGGTTACTATCACACAAAATTCTTTGTAGAAAATTCAAAGTTGTTAAGTGGTTACTTTTGCCCTAATTAACAAACTACGGTGTAATCCCATGCAGGATGTGTAGGATTTTGAGACGATGCAGCCCACCAAATACAACTGATTTGTGAAGGAGGTGTTTATTATTTACAGTAAGGGGACTGGTGCAAAAGTGATATTAAACTTAGTAATGACTTGAACCTATCCCACTACATGATTGTAAACTTGTTGGGCTCTGCATTAACAGTTAGTGTCTCCCTCTGATACTTGCTCTGGACCCTTCCCCTAAGATAACGACCAGTCATTCCAAATTCAGTGTAACTGATATTTCCCTAACTTAAGATGTAACATGACATGTAGCCTTAACTCATTCACTGTCAAGAACCTTTTGTACCATGTCACAATACTTATTGCATATGTGGTCATTATTGAACCTGTCAATACTTGTAGAAGACAGATTTCCACAACAAAAAAGACTTCACCCTCATCAATTAGATCTGCAGTAGCAATCTCTGGATCATAGAGGGAGTATCTTGAACCCTGAATATCTAAAAGCATCAATTGCTGCTTGGTAATTAAACTTGTGTAGTGCACTAAGCACTGGGCTTTGTCGAAGATTTCTTTAAACTCTGGGTGGGCATCTTCTTTTGGAATGATGCAGTTTCCATCATTGTTTACATCCTTTGTGAATTGTCCAGAAACAAACTCTTCTACAGTCACTGGCTCATCATTGAACCTGGAGTAGAAGACTTTGTTACAGGCAAATGATTGGCCAAATTCTTCTGGTACTATGCTGCTAAACCGCTTGGTTAATTGCCTAGCCACAGTGTGCATTTGTACTTGCTTTCTCGTATGGATTTCCACTGTCGTCTTTATTGTGTCTACAATGGTGTTCTTTGACTTGTCATTATACTTCTTTATCACCCATTGTTTTTTACATTGGCTACCACTTTCCGGCGTTCCTTTGAATGCATCACGAAATGCTCCAGATGCAAATTTGTCATCATCAACAAAGAGAGTTAGACATTTCTCTGTTTTCCACTCTTTGTTGAGTAGGTCAAATGACTCCAAGTTCAGTATTGTCTTTGTTCTGGAGGCTGGCTTAACAAATTTTCCTGCATTCAGAAGTTGTGCAATAGACAACGAAGCTGGGTAACTTTGTGCAACCTCTGCTGCTTTTGTTGGTGATGCAGGCTTATCGTGTATCTCATTATCAGCTGACATTGGCAGACTTTTGTATCGATCATCTTCATCTTGTTCTAAATTGGGCACAAATCTAACGAGCTATACCTATTAAAAACAGAAGACAATGAAAGGAGGTTTGATAGGAGTAAATAGAAAACACTATTTAGAAAAAAGAGAATAAATACTGTATTCCAATTTTGATAGTGGGCATTCCATATCATATCTATACTATTTTAACATATATCACTCATATATCACATTTCCAATAATTTAAGCATGCCCCTGGACTCCCTACTTTATTATGCACCAAAAGGCAATTCTACCCCACTAAAATGCTAAAAAGCATAAAAGCATACCAAATCCAACGTTTCATTAGGAAAAAGAAACAAACTCAGTCATTTTTCACTTTTTCTCTGTTCTCTCTCTCTCTTTCTTTTTCTTTTTTTTTTGGGAGGTGGGGGGGTGGGGGGCGTCATCTCAAGTAATTTGGGACACAAGGGGGGGCCGCCCAAAAAATTTCTTATGAAGAGAGGGGGTCATCATATACTACAGTAGCTACCCGTTGAATCCCACTAGCCCCCCTTCTCATATTTAATGTCTAGAATAAACAGTAAAACATATTTTCACATAAAATTCATTAGCTGCGTATCGAAAAGTGTCCAACACTGAACCTGAAAGTAAAAATTGTATAAAATTCGCCGACATCATCGCAAAAGTGATGCGTGTAAGGTGAGAACCATTTCAACTTGGATGTCGTAGTAACAGGCCTTGAACTAATTTTATGAATGAAGAAACTTAAAACAATAGACAGAGAAGCCGTTTCTTGAAAATTAGTATTCAAAATCCAAAAGGGTAATCCTTTTAAGTAATTCGCAAGTGCATGACACTGTCTGGATCGTGGATCCGTTCACGCGAGTAAAATCAGCTGAGCACATGGCAAAATTTAACACAAAATCCATCTCAAATCGGAGCGCATTTTGTAATTTTCTTTTAGCGCCGAAGAAAAAAAATGTATAAAACGACTATGAAATACATAAATTCCCTTTCAAAAACGTAATTTTCTTGGCCATAGAGTGCAAAATGTACCTGAAGAAAACAAGGTTGAATTCTCTGAAGGACGATTTCTTCCTCCACAGAAAGAAAACTGAGCATTCTTTAGAAATTTCTCTTTCTATTTTTTGTCTTTTAACGGTGTATTTTTAACCTTGAAATGCAGAACTCTGACCTCAAAACCACCGCATGGTGATCGCGCGGCAGCCATTTTGTTGAAAATGGATATCACTAAGGTTTAACCCATTCGCCCCTGAACCGCCCGTAACCGCCCGTGCGGATCCAGGTCCTTTCTACCCATTGTGACGTCATCAGTTTTAACGGTCAAGGACAACTTTCTTCACTAACTTGTGCAGAGTGAAGAGATCTTTCAAACCCTACCAGAATGAGCACAATTCAGTCAAGAACAGCGGAGAAACAAGCAAAAAACCACGTGACATTGACCTGAAAATCTCTATGAAAATCTTGTTCCATTACCCACCTACCTTTCCTTTCGCCTAATCCTAAGATCCTAAAAGCTTTCCTAAAAACTCTTCACACCAAAATCAAGCCTACTAAATGCCCAGCAAGAGAAATGAAAAATGAGGCAAGAAAAGCAAAAAAAGAAGGGAGGAGAGAAAGCGAAAAGTAAAAGTCAAGACTGCTGTGTCACTTTTAAACCCAAAAACTGTCGAAATTTTGCTTTCTGCGTATGCCCGAACTTCGCAAGCTGATATTTTGCATCTGGATCAGAAGGCTGTGAAGTGTTCGACCTGTAAACCAGTTTGTGGTAAGTTTTAGCTCTTTATAGCACGACAGTGACCAGAAAACCACTCGACTAACTTCAAAACGCGTTTTTCGGCAAAATCTCCAGGAGCGAATGGGTTAAGCAATAGAAAACGTTTTCCGTGTTTGCATAGCCTGATATAAACACTCGAGGCGTTGGGAGAATTCGAGACAGTTATGCAAACCCTCGACTTCGTCTCGGGTTTGCATAACTGTCTCGAATTCTCCCAACCCCTCTCGTGTTTATATCAGGCTATGCAAACACGGGAAAAAAGTTTTCTATTGCTTTTATAAAATAACTTTCCCGAGAAAAAAACGCAAAACTCTTTGTATGGCACTGATTAAAAGAGAAATTCTTACCAGTCGCAAACTCTTGTCCACGAAGTCTTGCACGCGTAATCAGTTCTTGTTTTGCAAAAAGATGCTTTGCAAAATACGGATTTTTATCGCTTAAAACGATCAGCTTAAGCGAAGAAAAATGTACACACCTTCTTTGTAACGATTTTCCAAGTTTCAGCCGACGAAGAAATGGGTAAATAAAGTAAACTTTTTGAGTTTTGAACTCGAAAACTTTTTCAAATTTGTGCTTGCGTGATTAGCGCGCGAAAAGCCAAACAACTTGACGCCACAACCATGTTTACATACTCTCATGCAAACACTCCTCTCGGCCAATCAGAGCGCGCGTACTATCTTAGTTATTTCATAATTACAAATATGGTAAAAGCAGGAGCCATAATCGGCTCCTGGTAAAAGTGAATATTCACGAGTATTGAAGGCGAGCGACACATTTCAACCCCATATGAGTTTCTGGCCGAATCAAATCTATTTGATGCATTTGGCAGTTCTCTCAGTAAACGACTAACAGTTTGCTTACCTTGTCTTTGCGGTGAGGTATTTGGTTTATGTTGGTACATGACGGCCCCTTGTTTGAGACCAGTACATCGCACGAGTTTACCGGATAGCCAAAGTGTTCCGCGCAAGCAATCTTGAGGTTTTCTAGCGTTAAATCGTCCCTAGAAAACTCGACGAATTCTCTCGGCTGCACCGGTCGATACGTTTGTTTGTTGTCAGGTTCAGCCGTAAGCCTTGCACCACGATCTCGCTTGGAGCCGTTCCTTTGCCACCTTTGCGGGGTCGTGTTACTTGCTGCGTTCTTTTGTCTGACATTCTGTTTTTTGAAGGGTCTTCCACAAATGGTTCATTTTTGGTGGCATCGCGAACCAAAGACTTATTCAGACTTAAAACAAAGGCCCACACTGTTCTACACTATTCTCATTAGGAGACCCTGGAGCGATGTTGATTTGGGGTAAACCGCGCGCATTTTCCGTGGGACACCATAAAAGGCGGGAAAGTTACTGAAGTGTTTGGTACAAAGCATCCTGGTCTATGATAACGATAGGCCACGTGGTATAACGAGTTTTTTTGGATGATTTTTTTTTTTAATGTTGATTTTCGATGTTGATTTTCAATGCTGTTTCCAATGTTGATTTACTATGTCGGTTTCCAATGTTGTTTTTAATGTTGATTTTCAATGTTGATTTTTAGCATTGATTTTCACTGTTGATTTTCCATGTCACGGTTTTTCCGAATAAATTTTTCCTATGTTTTTTTATTACTTAATTACAATTTTGCCTTGGTTGATATAACCCCATTTTTTTTTTCGTTTTAGATATCTGTTTTCAAATAATTTTTTACTTAATATAATTTTACATCTTTTTGTTCTGTTTTTATCGCTTATGTTTTTTTGTTTCTTTCTATTTTTTATTATTTCTTCCCAAAATCGTACATATTCTACTATGATAACGTTGGGCCACCATAGTGGAGCTCGTTGCATTGAACAACCAGAGATGGGGAATTTACGTTTTACACTTTTCAAGAGTTATTTAACATTCAACGATAGATGAATAACTTTAAAATGCTTTTACCAACTGAATTGTAGTTCTTTATAATAGCATCACAAAGTCGCTCTGACTCTGTGTCTGTCCTACTGCCATTAAATTTAGAGCTCGATTGTCCTCATTTACAGCAGTACTGCAAGAACTTATACTTAAACTAGACTTTTGACTGCAATGAAATAATTAAACCTGGTCTAGACGATACAGCAAGTAATACTCTTTCATTTAGCCTCTGTCAAATTTAGGGCCTTAAAAAGAGTAGTATAGGAAATGCTGCCATCCCACTCACCTCAATTTTTTTCTACCTCATCTCACAATGTCGCTCTCTTGTTCACTCATTTCGCAAAACTCATTCGTTTTCGTTCACTTCGTTCAATTCGTTCGCTTCGCTCACTCATTTCACTCAGTTCACTCAACTCATTCGTATTGCTCCATTCGTTCACAAGTATCGCTCCATTGTTCGAATAGGTAGAAAAAAATTGAGGTGAGTGGGTTGTCAGCATTTCCTATACTACACTACACTACACTACTCTATAATTAGATAAAAATAAAATAGATACTAATTTTAGAAGCAGAAAATATAAAATTGA